AAGAGGCAAAAGATCTGTAATCAGAAAACTATAAAGTACTCATGAAAGAAATTGAGGAAGACACAAAGAAATGGAAAAACGTTCCATGCTCAAGGACTGGAGGAATAAATATTGTGAAAATGTCTATGCTACCTAAAGCAATCTACACATTTCATGCAATCCCTATCAAAATACCATCATTTTTTTTCAAAGAAATGGAACAAATAATCCTAAAATTTATATGGAACCAGAAAAGTCCCCAAATAGCCAGAGGAATGCTGAAAAAGAAAGCCAAAGTTGGTGGCATCACAATTCCAGACTTCAAGCTCTATTACAAAGCTGATATCATCAAGACAGTATGGTACTGGCACAAAACAGACACATAGATCAATGGAACAGAATAGAGAGCCCAGAAATGGACCCTAAATTCTACAGTCAATTAATCTTCAACAAAGCAGGAAAGAATGTCTAATGGAAAAAAGACAGTCTTTTCAACAAATGGTGCTGGGAAAATTGACAATCACATGCAGAAGAATGAAACTGGACCATTTCTTTACATCACGCACAAAAATAGACTCAAAATGGATGGAAGACTTCAGTGTGAGACAGAGATCCATCAAAATCCTTGAAAAGAACACAGGCAGCAACCTCTTCAACCTCAGTCGCAGTAACTTTTTCCTAGAGACATCACCAAAGGCAAGGGAAGCAAGGACAAAGATGAACTTTTGGGACTTCATCAAGATCAAAGCTTTCGCACAGCAAAGGAAGCAGTCAGCAAAACCAAAAGACAACTGACAGAATGGGAGAAGATATTTGCAAGTACATATCAGATAAAGGACTGGTATCTAAAATCTATAAAGAACTTCTCACACTCAACAGTTAAAGAACAAAGAATCCAATCAAGAAATGGGCAGAAGACATGAACAGACATTTCTCCAAAGAAGACATCCAAACGGCCAACAGACACATGAAAAAGTGTTCCATATCACTCGGCATCAGGGAAATACAAATCAAAACCACAGTGAGATACTACCTCACACCAGTCAGAATGGCTAAAATTAACAAGTCAGGAAATGACAGGTGTTGGTGAGGATGCAGAGAAAGGGGAACCCTCCTACACAATTGGTGGGAACGTAAGCTGGTGCAACCACTCTGGGAAACAGTATGGAGGTTCCTCAAAAAGTTGAAAATAGTGCCACCCTATGACCCAGTAATTGCACTACTGGGTATTTACCCTAAAGATATAAATATAGTGATCCAAAGGGGCACGTGCACCCAAATGTTTAGAGCAGCAATGTCCACAATAGCCAAACTATGGAAAGAACCTAGATGTCCATCAACAGATGAACAGATAAAGAAGATGTGGTATATATATACAATGAAATACTATGTAGTCATCAAAAGAAATGAAATCTTGCCATTTGCAACGACATGGATGGAACTAGAGGGTATTATGCTGAGCGAAAGAACTCAATGAGAAAGACAATTATCACATGATCTCACTGATACGAGGAAATTGAGAGGAAGGGTGGGGGGCTTTGGGGGGTCAGAAAGGCAAAAATGAAACAAGATGGGATCAGGAGATAGACATACCATAAAAGACTCTTAATCACACGAAACAAACTGAGGGTTGCTGGGGGGTGGGGAGGTAGGGAAAGGGTGGCTGGGTTATGGACACTGGGAAGAGTATGTGCGATGGTGAGTCCTGTGAAATGTGTAAGCCTGATGATTCACAGACCTGTACCCCTGGGGCAAATAATACATTATACGTTAATTTAAAAAAAAAAGTGAGACAAACATAAAAATGCTGAACAACATGTAAGGATTGCTAATTCATAGTCCTGCTACAGGGAAGGGGCTGGGAAAAAAAGTAGAACCTCAACTCACAGCCACAAGGAAGCTATACTTCTTGGGGAGAGTCAGGTAAGATTGGTTATTCTACATATATGTGCAATCTAAAAACAAAACAGGATAAAAAAAAACAACTGATCTCTTAGAGAACATATTGGTGGGTGCCAGGGGTGGGAGGTTTAGGGGATTGGCAAAATGGGTAAAGGAGATCCAAAGGTACAAATTTCCAGTTATAAAATAAGTCATGGGGATATACTACACAGTAACTACAGTTAGTAATACTGTACTGCATATTTGAAAGTTGCTAAGAAAGTAGATCTTAAAAGTTCTCACAAGATGAACAAAATCTGTATGTGGTGATGTTAACTAGACTTACTGTGGTGATCGTTTCACAATATATCCAAATATGAAATCACTATTCTGTATACTTGAAACTAAAATAATGTGTAATTTATTGCAAAAAAAAAAAAAAAGGGAGAGAGGTGGCACCTCTTTTAGACAAAGAATTGATGGAAAAGAATTAGGCATGAAAAAATAAGGATCCTACAGAAATGAAAGAGAAATAAGACAGGCCAACCCTCACCGCCCACCACAATTTAATAGATTATCAGAAAGGAAATTGTACAGAAGGTCAGAACTGACAGAAAAACAGGCACCAGAAACCCTGGTCACAAAATAAAACAGAATAGAAAAAAAGAGACCATAATCACATAAAACTACTATAAAATATCAGGTATTTGCTAATGAAAGTATTTGGGATTTTTTTTTTTTTTTTGCCTGATACAGTCTCCCCCCAAAACTCAACAATGAAGCTATAAAAAACTGAAAATGAAATCAATCCAACCTGAATTAAATATCCTCAAATAAATATTTGTAAATATAGGGGCAGGGGAGGGTGTTAAATGAGAAATACAAAAACTACTGCAGAAACTGTGGGGGGAGGGTGTGGAGAAAGAAAGAAAAAAAAATGAGTGAACCCAGAAAAGGTGGCGGAGGGGAGAGACAAAATTAAATCAGGAATGAAATCCCAATCACAAGGTACCTGAAGGACAACATATGCCAATAAAAATCTAATCAAAGGCAATGAAGAAAGGAAATACAGGAAAGTAGTAAAAAGGGCTAGAGAGAGAGTAGCTGAAAAAGAAGACACAAAGGAAACAGCATTCCTACTAGTGCCCTGATGAAAATGAAAACAGAACAGAAAATGAAAATGAGAACTGAACTAGTATTTAAAACTGTAACTCAAAAAAATTATCCTGGATGAAAAAAGACCTGAATATACATGTTAAAGGATGAAATTCTGCCAGAATGGGCAATTCCAAGATCTGTCCTTGTAAAGCTATTAGCCATGGAAGATTAAAAGAAAAAAAAATTCTCAGAGTCTCCAAGTAAAACATGATTTTTTTTTTTTTAAGACTTATTTATTTGTCCGAGAGAAAGAGAATGCACATGTGAACAAGCACACACAAGCAGGGGGAGCGGCAGGCAGAGGGAGAAGCAGGCTCTCTGCTGAGGAAGGAGCTTGATGTGGGACTGGACCCCAGGACCCTGGGATCATGACCTAAGCCAAAGTCAGACGTTTAACCAACTGAGCCACCCAGGCATCCCAAAATATGAATTTAAAAGCCAAGAAAATTAGAATGGCATCAGATTTCTCAAAAGCAACATACAAAGCAAGGCAACAGTAAAACAGCCTTTTCAAGACATTTAGTTCATACTGTTTCTTAAGGATATTATATCCAGCCAAGCTGTTCAAGTTTCAAGGCCAAAGAAAAACAGTACGGAATGTGCTAGAACTCATGGAGTCTTATGCACATGTGCTCTTCTCAAGGAATCTATAGAGGATGAGCTATATATGAGCTATGCTTGCCGTCCTTTCCTAAAGTCAAGCAAAAAACTAAGACCAATGTATAAGACAGGTAAAGTAGACAAAAAAATAAACAACATAATAAGGTTCATCTTTAGGCTATATATCAAATACTATACCCTAATAATGGAGAATATACTTTTTTTTTAATATGTACAGAACTGTCCCCAAAATTAATCATATACTAGGCACAAACAAAATATTAGTAAGCTCAACAGCAGATTCATTATAATGTAATAAAACTACTAAAATTAAAAATATTCCTTATTTAAATTTAAGAACACAACTCTCAGGTGAAAGAGGAAATACAAATTACAGATTTTGTGAAAAATAATTAATGAAAACCCTACATATTATTATCTGTGGGATACATTTAAAACAGCAGTAAGATAAAAATTCATAGCCTAAACACTTATATTAATAAAAAAAATTAAAGAATAAAAATAAATTCAAGACAGGAGAAAAACTGTATATCAGATTAATAAATCATAATCCTGGCTCTCTAGGAGGAAAAAAATGACAAAACACTAAGTAATTTAATTAAGATTTCCAAAAAGAAAAAAGCACAACTATAAAAAAGAACAAGTAACAAGGGAGAAGTAACTATTGATAGAAACCTGAAAGAAATTATAAGAGTCTAGCTTGTATTCTTCTATGAAAATAATTTGAAAACTGAGAGGAAGTGGGTAATTTCTTAGGCTGTGGAAATATTCAGATCAAAAGTGACTGAAGAGATGTGACAACTATATTCATGCTTGACCCTACACTGACTTGCACTGGAGGAAGAAAATGCTACAAAAGACATTATTAGGTCAACTGCAGAAACTAAATATTGATGGTAGATTAGATAAAATGTAAATTTATAAAGTCAACAATTGTATTGTGGTCATGAAAAAAAATCCCCAATCTCAGGAAATAAAATTGAAGTATTTTGGAGCCATAATATACGTAATTTACCCTAAAACAGTCCAGAGGATAAAAGGTGTATATCCACTCGTGTATGCACGCATTCATGTATACACACACACACACACACACACACACACACACACAAAGGAAATGATGAGATGATAAAGCAAATGGAATAAAATGTTAACAGGTGAATCTGAGTAAAGAGTATCCTTTTTTTTCCCATTATTTCTGCAAATTTTGTTAAGTTTGAAATTGTTCTCAGATAAAAAAGTTTTTTAAATTATATTACAAAATTATAATTATGGGAGTGATCCCAAGCCTGTTAATGGAAAATTTATTCTGAAAAGGTTAAATTCTCTGGAACTTTAGGGAAGAAATGAAAAGAGCTTACCCATGAATAGGAATGCACAAAAGCTTTTCCAGATTAGAAAGAACAATTCTTATAGTCTCTGGTGTTCTGGAAGAGCCAAACTCTGTCACCAAAAGTGATTTGGTAATATCTAAAAGAAAATGTTTTAAATAATCACTAAAGTTTAGTAATAAGAACTCTGATTAAAAAATGTGATCCTTGTAATTCAAAATAAAATAGGACCATTTTCATTCCTCGTCCTAGTTGTACCATATTTCTTTCATTCTAAGCCTTGAAGTATTAAAATTCTGATAAATTTATTATCCTTAAGTGGTTGTTTTCATAATCAAGGAGTCTGCTTCTTTGAACATCCCCCCAAAATATAAAATATAACCAATTTGCTTGCATGCATGATACCTTTAGTGGGAAATAAGCAAATACCTTAAATATTTAAAAAGAATTTACAAAATAAATAATTTAAATATCGGTTTGAAATAAAACAAAAGTTTAAACTGAATGGTGGCTGACCTCCATTTACTAAATTGATGGATTACCCAATGCTTTCCATTCCGTCTTTGAAACAACATGATTGAAGCTCATAACACACTCAACACCTTTGGCTAAGAGACTCCCTGTGTAGCGTACCCTACACTTCATCTCCTTCCACCAACTGTTCTAAACATGTTCACAATTACTGTTTCTTCTAATAATCTGATAATCTAATTAAGAATTATAAAATGCAAAAAAATTATAAAAAGGGAAACGTTTAGTTTCTACAAAAGCTACCACATTACTTTTCTTTTTTTTTGCATTTGAAATGCTTCAATTTTTTTAAATTTTTTTTTCAGTGTTCCAAGATTCATTGTTTATGCACCCCACCCAGTGTTCCATGCAATACAAGCCCTCCTTAATACTCAGCACCAGGCTCACCCAACCCCTCATCCCCCTCCCCTCCAAAACCCTCAGTTTGTTCTTAGAGTCCACAGTCTCTCATGGTTTGTCTCCCCCTCCGATTTCCCCCAACTCACTTCTCTTCTCCATCTCCCATTTCCTCCATGTTATTCCTTATGCTCCACAAGTAAATGAAACCATATGATAACTGACTCTCTCTGCTTGACTTATTTCACTCAGCACTTTGATAAGATGCATGTTTTTTCACATGTTATCTTAAAAATTAGGATATGTCCCAATCTTTAGGGTCTTAGAGTTCAATAAAAAGAAAAGGAACTAAAAATCTGCTCTCAACTTCAGTGTCTGAGGAAAAAATTATAAAAGTGTAGGGGGATTCTGAACTTAGATTGATTTGCAAGTATGTTTAAGTTCTTGCTGCACTTAAAAGAATCTGAAGTACAAACTGTGGGAAATTTTGGACATGGTTTATGGAAAAAAAGGGACTCAAAAGTTCAATGAGCTGTCACATAGAAGACAAAATGCCAATCATCAAGGTCACAAAAAATGTACAGACCTCATTTTTAATGATTCCCAACATTAACAGACTTTTTTCCCCTAGATTTACAGTCTATCAACTGGTCCCAGTGACATCAGATCAGAGGAATTTGACAAAGAATTTGAGATGTAGTGGCTGAAACAATAAACCATGAACTTCACAGGGGCAGGAAGCCATTCTTATTCATCTTTCTATCCCCAGCATTTAGCAAGCCGGTGAGTCTGAGTGGTGTTTGCCGGATTATACTTTCTTCCTTGGTTCCACTACCACATTCAAAATTGTGGTGGAAATAAAAATGTAAAGGGAAAAGACACGTAATTTACGAATCTGTTAAAAACCAGGAGAACTCCATTGGTTAACTCAAAAATAATGAAAAACATGTATAGAATATCAACCACACCAAAAATGAGAGAATAAACCTACCTTCCTGTTGTGAAACCTGTAATTTTTGACCATTACAAAAGGCTCCTTTTCCTTTCCTGCCAGTATACATCTTATCCTCCAGGCAACTGTATACCACTCCAAATTCCATCTGCAGAAGGAAAAAAGTTTCCTTTATCAAACCTGAGTATTTTTCATCATTAAATCAATACTTTTTTTTAAGGCAGTAACAAAAAAATCTGTATACTGAGAATGTTTTCAAATAACTATTATGGGATACTTAAAATGCTAATTTCCAGCTTAAACAGAGGAAAGAGGTCATCAGACTTGAATCACTGACTCTTGTCCCATCCATTTCTCAACTTAAGAGGACCCACCTTGACCTCTCACCCTCCTGCCTCAGACAGGTAAGTATTTCCTACTTTCTAAGGTGAATCTTCCTTCCATATTGATTCCAACCCTCTCGAATGTCTTTGAAATACTCCTCTACCAACTGAGCCTCCTTCTCTCAGATTTCCATTCTGATACTTTCACACCAAATTTCTACCTCCCCCACAAAATTTTCAAGATATTATCTTCTCCTTTTCCCTTCACTGCCTAAAGGGTAGTCTATACCTCACCTCTTTTATTCTCCTCTTAACAAAAATTACAATTTGGCTTCTGCCCTGATCACACACACTTCCAAAACTTCCCCGAAAGAGATTACCTGTGACCTCCTACTAACCAAATACCATATATTGGCGACTGCTGACCATCATCCATACTTTATTACTTAATCCAGTACTCCCATGTTTCTGGCAGTATACGTAGTCCTACCTCTTTCACCAATCTGTCTTTGTATCACTTTTTCTGAGGACCTTGTTCTCTGTCCAACCCTTAAAAGTGGTGTAGGTCAGGATTTGTTCACTCTTCCATTTCTTCCATCCCCTTCTTGGATGTCTATATTCTTAGAGGTTTGTTCTTTTCAGTTCATAAATTCAACTACCACATTTAACTGTGGCCTGTACCACCTACAACCACACTATCACAGGGAAGAACCTATGCTTCCATTAATCTTGCAGAAACCTCAACCAAAGAGGTCAAAGATCACTCATTACCTGATCACACATCATTCCTTCCCCAAATGTCTTCTTCAAATTTTGGGTTTATTTTTGGTTCTGGCATTTCCTCAACCACCCTCACTGCCCCATCTTAGTTTAGAATCACCCACCCTGCCCCTCTGGTATGATCTCTGCATTGCTAGAATTATCTGTCACCCTGTACTTGAAGAACCTCTACTGGTTTTCTACAGCCTAAAAATAAATGTTCTGGCCTAGACAAGCCACAGTGCCTCACAATAAAACCACAACTAACTCGCCTCATCATTTCTGCCCCTGCCACTTTCAGAGTTCACTCATAATGAACATCTCGTTCCCTACACACATCATGCTCTTCTCCAAGCTGTTCTGATTAAAATACTTTCCTCCGTTTCTTCTTTATCTGAAAAATTCCTCCTTTTCTAAAAGCCAACTCACATGACCAAACTCTAAAGACCCCTTCTGTTATGAAAATTTTCCCCAAACCACTCTTGGGCAGAACTGGATACACCCTCTTCATGTTCTCACAGCATTTGTTTCATAGTTCCACTATGTATTTATCTGTCTGCACATCTAACTTATGCATGAACTGTGAGTTGATGCAATAGCAGGGACAGCACATAGCCCAAGGCTGATTACAGGGTAAAGGCTCCTTTAGCTTCTTTCAGAAGTTCTCACTAATTAGTGCAACCCTGTGCCAAAGATGTGTTTTTATTTTCACAGATTTTTTAACTCTCCTGTATACATACTGATTAAATATATCACAAGCTCCTGGAAGTCAGGTATGTCAGATGTTAGTAAACATCATTCATTGTTGGATCAATCAAATAGCCAAACAGCAAGGAAATGCAATAGCTACAGCTTGTATTCTACTAGGTTTCAGATAAAGCAAGTATTTGGATTCCTGAACATACTCAGCATTTCCCAACCATGTTCTGGCCCCTACCATTTTCTGGTCTTTCAAAGTCTCCCTTCACAGACACCTTAAGGCATTCCTAGCTCAAATCCCACCGCTTCCATCTAGCATTTCAGGTCACACATCAGCTCCTATCACATCTGACTCTATCACATATATAATGGTGATTAAAAACTGAATTGTATTTCAGTTACTTGTCTGTATTTTTTCCTTTTAATTATTGCTTCTCGGACATTAAATTTTCTTTACTGGAAAAAGTATCATGCCAATTCTAACAGTTCTGCAGCTTACTTTGAAATAATGCAGCTCTATAAACTGAATATAGAAACAAACCTAAATTTATGTACTCTTCCTTAGAAAATGAGAGCAAGGCATTTTACTATAAATTTAAACAGCATACCTTTTTATTTACAGTGAAGCCAATTGAAACAGCTACAAAAGGAAATCTTAAAAAAAAACACACACACACACATATATATACACGTTAACCAAGATAAAAATTACTTTAAATAAAGATGTTTTTTCATAATGTAAATGACTAGAGAATTTTTCATATAGTTTCAACCCTCCTCCCACAGAACAGTGTGTACAGTACGCAGAGACTATGGGGACAGGTGGCACATGGATATACGTACATACATTCAAGATGCTTCTAGCTTCTACAGACATGAAACATCTTTGAAAGAATTCATAAGAAACAGATAACAGTGGCCACCTCCAGAGACTGGTCCTGAGAAACTAGGGTCAGAAGTGGAGGGACACTTTGCACTGCATGACATTTTATATCTTTGGAATGTCAAATGCCACAAATATAGTAACTGTAAAATACTTTTTTCAAAAAAATACAAAATTAAAAAAATTTATAACTGTTCATGGTTAAGAAGTCTCTTTCCTTTGGTTATTTCTCCCACAGTCAGGACCTATAAACACAGATATCAAATTGTACAGAACAAACTGTTACTTGTCTTTAATACCAAATTTGGAGTTTCACATGTGAAAAGTAAACTGTTAGCTACAACTATTGCTATGGCCGCATGACAGTTTGAACACATACATTGTAATTTTTTACTCAAGAGTCAAGATGAACAAAATAAGACAAAATGTGTTCAACTACTGAAAATAAAAAGTTTAATATTTAATAATTTTCATTTTAACAAAAATGGGACCATAGTATACACTCTGTATTAGAATCTTGTTAGGTCATGAGCATCTTTCCACATTCATTAACACTCCACATATAAATTCTAGATCTTAGCTTTTCAGACTTTAACAATTCTGTACTAGTAAAGGTATGTATAGCTACACAGCAACTTCAAATATAACATTTATGTGTAATCCCAACAAACTAGGCTACCCATTTTAACTGTCACTGGCAAATCCCTCAGGTTTTCTTTTAGTGCTAATATACTGAGTTACATACTGACTTTGTGCCAGGCACTATACAAGGTCTTATATAAAAGTATTACTCACTGAATCCCATGAACAAACCATTCTATAAGGAAGGTAGCATCAAAATGTCCATTTCACACATTAAACAACAACTGAGGCTTAGAAAGATTAATAACTTGCCTAAGGTCACAAAGCCTATAAAAAAGCATCTGAAATCAAGCCCAAGTCTGTTGATCCTAAAGCCCACACTCTTTTTAATAGTTTCTTCTCCTGGACTGAACCCACTCTATATAGACAACACTCTCTATGACCCCCAAAACTGACTCCACTAGTTCCTTAATCTCAAAGCAGCAATACTGCTTGCTTACATTTCTATCAGGCTCCACCAGTGAGAAAAAGAATGGTGAACAGGGCCCCTCACTGCCTAAGTCCACAGCATGAATATTTCATCATCTCTTCCATATCTGATAAAAATTCTGCAAGATACATTTCACTCTACAAATTATATAATTCTCTAAAGTATCTGGGTCCATTTAGTTAATATGCAAACAGTAATTACAATATTAACATTTTTAAAAAACATACCTATGTACAAAATTTGTTGTCCCGTCAATAGGGTCAATGATCCATGTAGGGCTGTCAGTTAAGACACTTTTTTCCCCAGCTGCCACAGATTCCTCACCAATGAAACTACAAGCAAGATTGACAAATTCCAAATCTTCACACTGCATTCAGCGATTTTCAAACCTAAATATTTCCTTAGATTCAGAGTCTACTTTAAATACATAACAAAAGTCCATATACCACTTTTCTATTGTTGTTCCTTCTTCCTTCAGACTGATAAAGTGAGAAAACTTTATTTCCTCCAGAGCAAAGTCATGTGAAAAATAAAATTCAGATTCTCAAATGTAATACCAGGGTTAAGTAAAGGCACTCACATGTGAGTATGCACTCACATTTGTTGCAGATGAGAACTTACTAAGAAAATGTGGTGGTTTTAAAAAAATAATTCTACACATTCTCTCATGCTCTTCTCTTTAAGAGGGAGAACCTGACACCCCTTGCCTTGAGCATGAATTTGAACCAAGTGACTCTTTTCCAACCAACAATCAAAGCAGAAGTTACAATATGCAACTGTGAAGACTTGTTCACAAAAATGGTACTGTGGTTTCTATCTTTATTTCTCCCTCTGTCCCTTTCCCCTTCTTGCCCCAGGGGAAGTTGTCACAACATCAAGAGTTATTCCATGGAGAGGCCCAATGGCAAGGAAATGAGGGGAGCTGCTGGCAGAAAACCCTTGAGGAACCGAAGTCACCAACAATCACATACATGAATCCTTTAGCCCTAGTTGAGGCTTGAAATGCTATAGCTCTGACCAGCAGTTTGACTGTAACTTTATGAGACCCTGACCAGAACCATGCAGCCAAGCTATTCCCATATTCTTTACCCTAGAAAACTCTGAGATAATAAGTGTTTGTTGTCTAAAACTGCAATGTTTTTAGGATAATTAGCTATACAGCAACAGACAATATAGAGAACATTAAGTAAGTCAGTGAGAAAGCAAATTACCCATCAAAATTACTATGTCTACATGCCATCCCAGAACATGCTATGCAATAAATCTCAGGTGAATTTTGTAAATGGTGTCTGAGTTCACTGGTTTTCTTTCTATTTCCTTTATTCATTATTTTATTTCCTTTGCTCAATACTGAACTGTCCTATAATCCTTATGATTCTCTTTTATCCCCTTTTCACTTAGCTGTAAACCTTTTTACTAAGAGGGAATATATTTGGCCACAGCTTTAACCATTTTTTTCTTCTCAATGGCTAAAATACCAAGAACAGATAATGGCATGACCAAGAAATTGAGAATGAGGGGTGCCTGGGTGGCTCAGTTGGTTAAGCATCTAACTCTTGATTTCAGCTCAGGTTATGATCTCAGGTTTGTGAGCTCCAGCCCTGCGTCAGGCTCTGTGCTCAGCAGAGAGTCTGCTTGAGATTCTCTTTCCCTCTGCCTCTGCCCACCCCCGCCACGTGCTCTCACACTTTCTATAAAATAAATAAATCTTTAAAAAAAAAAAGTAGAGAATGACAATGTTAAAACTTTAAAATGATGACGTTTCTGCTATATGTTTCTGTAAGAGAGCCCTGATCTTAGTTTCTCTCAAACTCGTTGAGGTTATCATCCCTCTATCACATAAAAGAGTTTGCAATATAGAGAATAAAACTTCTCAATCATACCTATGGCAGGCGTTTGTCATATTAGCTTCTCAGCATCCAAACACTCCTCTTACTATGAAGGAATCAAAATACCTCCTGTTTACTCCTTCCTGGCAGCTTGATCTTGGATAAGCAATCTGAGTTCAGCAAGACCTTCCTGCTTAGGATTTGCAAACTTGAGATAATGGGGTAAAGATATCCAAAACCAGCAGTCATGAGACTACCACCAGTGGCATCTGAAGCAATGGCTCCTGGGGCACCTGTAGCTCTGCCTTTCTTCCTGATTTCTGCCTATGCCCTGCATTTAGGGCTCCTGAGCTGCCCAACACTCCAAATAAATTCCTTTTCAGCTTAAGTTAAAGTCAATTTCTGTGTCTAGAATCAAAATTTGTCTAGTACATTGACTCTAACCTAAGTTTCAACTTATCATGTGAAACTAAAATAAAAAATACCTGTGAGATGGATACTTTTCTTTTATGGAAGAGATAAGCATTTTTTCAATTTTTTGGTCAGTAGCGGTTACCAAATCAGCTGGAGAACTTTTAATCATGACATTCATTTCACCTTTTATGGCTTCACGAACCACCTAAAAAGATTTTTTGATAAGCAAATAGAAAAGCATAAATCATTTTAAATCAAACTAAAAGATAAAATATAGAAATGGCTTAAAACATTCAATCTGTCTGAAATGCTGTTCTTAAAAATGTCTTACCAAAATATATATAAAATAATCTTTTAGTGGTTATGACCTGAATACAAAATCATACAATCTTATATCCTATTTTAAATTCACAATTGTCATTAGAAAGATTTAACGACAAAATCAGAGTATTGACTCCATTGAAAATGCTTAGTAAAATGAAAACAAATGCAAATTAATCAAAATACATGTTTTATTTCACAGGACAACCACATGCTGCCCACATCCATCACATTATGGCTGACAAGATTTCTGTTCATACCTCTCCAGCTTGTCTTGCTAGGGTTACTGCATAGTCCATGCATTCCTGCCAAGGATCAGCCATCTTCTGAACAGATTTAACACAAGTCAGGACAAAGCAATTAAAAAACTCTAAGTCTTAATTATAGAATAGTTAGTTCACAAAAACATCTCAATTAGCACAATACTTTCATTCAGGTAATGAATCACACATGTACAAAATCACAAATGTAATCATTGCTTTAGAGTTCAATGTTTTTCAAGATTCACTCATAGGTCCATTAAAAAATATTCTTACCTAAACCACTTCTATTGTAGAAACATTTACATAACAAAAAAACTCTATAAAAGTGTTTCCCAAAGTGCTCATAACATCATGTTATAAAACAACAACAACACACACACACACACTGGTTTGGGGGATGGAGAAGAAATGACACATAAGTACTTTAAAACATAGCTGCATGTTTGGGTAGAGAATGAAGTGAAAATAAAAGAACACTGGGAATGCTGAAATTAAAGAAGCTTTGAAAGAAAGGCACAGAAGGTATATACTTAATTCTTGTATTTAAGTCCACTATCTTTCTATTATAACATGAGGAAAAGAAAATTCCAGGTCTAAAAATATAATAAATTTATTTCCCAGAAAAAAAATAACATATTTTTCTCTTCTGAACTGTCCAGCTTTCCACTGACTTCTGAAGAGAATATCAAAATAACTCACCACTGGCTTGACTACACTCTAAAATCGGAACCTAGGACAGTGAAGCTCTTCAGGAGATCAGAAGAATATGGCATCACTTATAAAGCAACCCCAGGGATGCCTGGGTGGCTCAGTTGGTTAAGCATCTGCCCTCAGCTCACATCATGATCCCAGGGTCCTGTGATCCAGTCCCACCATCAGCCTCCTTGCTCAGGAGAGAGCCTGCTTATTCTCCCTCTGCCTGCCATTCTCCCTGCTTGTACTCTCTCCCTTACCCTAATAAATAAATAAAATCTTTAAAAAAAAATAGATAAAGTATAATTAAACTCCAATTTTGTCACCTTTATAATTGAGAATAACTGACAGTTTCACCTTAAAGACTACTCAGAACTCCCTACCATGGTACTCACAGTGTAGGAAAGAGGAGAGGAAAGGAGGGGAGGGCAAAGGGCAGAAACAGTAAGCTGTTTGTTCCTGCTGGTAGGTTTTTTTTTTTCCTGATTTTTTTTTTTTTAATGTAAAAGGGAAGCCACTTTTCAAGTTACAGAAGTCACTGCTTAGAGTATCTCAAGAATTGTTTCCAAACTTTTCCCCCCTCCATTCTTACTCCATTCCTCTCTTCTAGGCTTAACAGAACTAGATTAACCAAACAGTGCATTTGCTTTCTTGCCAGAAACTTTGCTCAAGCCTCTCATATCTCTGCCTTCTAACAGCAACAGCACTGATATAACTCCTACCAATTCTTCAATGCCCATTTCAAAAGCTACCCCTTCTTCTAGGGATTCTCCACCTGGAATTCATTATTTGTTTAATCATTTGATAGTTATTTGCTGAATACCTGTGATACCCTGTGTACTGCATCATAATGAGGAAAACAGGCCCAATTCACTTACTCACTAGTGGGGAGTTGGATATTAATAATAAAAAAATCAGACTACATGCAAAATCGCAAACGTAATAAAGCGTAAGTAGGAGAAGTACAGTGAGAGAACCATGTTAACAGGAGAGCTTTAACTGGGCCTTAGGTATCAGATAAGCTTGCCCTGACAACATGATTAAACCAAGCTCTGAAGGACAAGTGAATAGGCATTAACTAACTCAAGTGCAGGTAAGTGAAGAGTAACTAAAACGCCTAAGTGTGACAGTTCAGAGATCAAGGGAAGGGGGTAGGGATGAGACTGGGGAGATAGTAGGCATCATCCCAGGCCAGGCCTTAAAGATAACATTTTGATTTGAGAGCCATGAAGAATCATTTCACCATGGCTATTGAAGAGAACAGATTGGAGGGTGGAGGGAAGAGTGGAGAGTGGGTACTGGGTAGACTGGATTGGAGATTTAGATTTAGGATGCAGTAGTCCAGGCGGACCTGAAGGTTGGCTTAAACCTGGGAGAGTGAAGGGAGAGGTGTTTATAGAGAAGTTTAGAGAATGGAGAGATACTTGCTTTAGGAGGTAAAGTTGGGGGCACTTAGAAATAATTTGGATATGGGTATGAAGGAGAAGAAGAGATCAGTGATGCCCAGATTTCCCACTTCTAGCAACTGAATGGATAATAGTGACATTCACTGAAGCCAAAAGTAACGGAAAAGAGTCAATCTGAAGATGCGTGTAGGAGGTGGAGAGATCAAAAGTTTAATTGGTAGAGGATGAGGCGGCTTTGTGAAGCCAAAAGGAGAAGCCAATTCGGCGGCTGCACTATGGATCCTGAGCTCACAGAAGAGATAATGACCTTCAGATATAAATACAAGCCACCTGAGTAGGCAACACTGAGTCCTGAGCCTGAACGACAGTCCCAAGGAAGGAACACACAGTAACAATCTGGGAGGACGTCTTGGCCTGGAAGAGCCCATAAACTCTGTGCATCACCCTTAGGGCCCTCAGGAATGTCCTCCTTACGTCTTGATCATTTGTGTAGGTGCCTAATATTCACAACCACTTGGAGCCTATCTCTTGATGGAAATGAGCATATTCTATTCACCTTCACTTTCCTAAAGACAAACGCCCGAAACATTCCCAACTGCTTCTGTCCATAGCCTTCCGGACAGTGGGAACCATGCCACCTTCCTATCACCTGTCCCCAGCAGCGCGACTGCAGACAGCAGGAAGTGAGGGGCTCGCACTGGGACTGCAAGACCCTGGGAACATGCCAGGTCTGAGCTTCTTTGAAAGCAGTAAAATATAAAAGAGAAAATTATTCTACGTCAGCTGCCACAAGGGTTCAGAGAGAACCGGTGGGCGAAACCGCTACACGACGTGGGGCCTTCCCCGTTGTCACCCGGAGGAAGGGGCTAAGGTAACACTGCAGGGATAAAGCCTCCCCCCCGCCCCAGCGGCCTGCGGCCTGGGTCCCGGGTCCCTGCGCGCCCACCCACTTCGGCTGGGGGAGGGGAGTGCTGCCTGCAGCACCTATGCCCACAGTTCGGACCCACACGGTCCGACGGCTGATACGAAGTCGCAGGAATGCAGCACTTACCTCAACTTGGGGGAAGTGAAACCCACTAAGCTTCCCGCGGGATCTGCGGCGGAGTTCTTCCTGAGAGAGCGAGAAGTCTCCCCGACAGGAAGTCCCACCCCTGTGGCCCCGCCTATGTGGGCGTGACTCCTTCGGGCCGCAGCCCCGAGCGCGCCAGTGTGAGGCTCCTGCCCCACCTCTCCCCGAAGGCCTTGACGAGGGTTGGTAGATTTAGCCTCACTACTTCTGGTTCCAACTTCCTTTCTGCAGGCTGCGCTTTCTTCAGAAATTTAGAAAAACTTAAGAAACTATCTTTTTGGTTCACTGTTAGTTATCTTAAAATAATCTTGCCAGAGCGCTTGGGTGGCTCAATCAGTTAAACATCGGACTTCAGCTTAGGATCCCAGGATGCTGGGATAGAATCCTGCCTCTCTGCCTCCCTCCCTCCCACTCTGTCTCTCATGAAAAAAGAAAATCTTTAAAAAATTATCTTGCCAACCGTATACCGACGACGTGCGTTGATCTAACCAGATAAAAATTTTCCAGGCTTTTGAAGAAATGTCACCAGAGTCTTCTTAAAGCCTCCTTTAAACGAACATGGTCCCACTGCCTTAGCAAAGCTGCTACAACTAAAATCAATGTAAGAAATGTTAAGTCAGAAGATCAAATCTTACACCTTATTCAAATTAAAATCACTTCACACTTCCTACCTCAAATAAACAGGAAGTCCAATCTTTTTCTAGGGGCCTCAGCTGCTACCTCACAATTGTTCTCAAGTAACTCAAGAGTGTTTTCAGTCCAAAGAGACCATTCAACTTCCAAATGCCTGAAAGTGAAAATCCTGTAAGTGCACAGCAGAGATCCGCACAGATCTGCACAGATCTGGTTTTGGCAGTGCTGCAAATTGGTCCCACACAGTCCAAACCATTTTTATTCAGTGCTGTGAGTTTAGAGGGCTGCAGAGGTCTCCATACCTAGTATATTGTTCTTGGCTTCCCAAAGGTACAATTTTTAAAGCTATGTCATATTTACAGCCATTGTTCCCACTACCAAAGATCATCTATTGTTCCAAGGTGGTTGGGAGTTAGGGAGGGGTCAGGTTCCGGCATGAGCCACATACTATGCCAGGACAAAATCTGCTTCCTGATGGGGCATCCAAGTCACCATTCCAGACTTCCCTAAAGGCAAGTTCCCTCTTCTGCATCTTTGAGATACCCTTTCCTCCCGATTGACTTCCATCCATGAGAAAGGTTCTGATTGGGCTAAGCTTCAAAACAGAAAAGAGGTGAGATCTAATGGCCTTGATATTTTCCCAGACACCTGACTATAAAAAGAGGTGGTGATTTGGGGGAAGGTCCTTTATCAAGCCACCGAGTGCTAAGGTCACACATCTGCATGAGCAGTAAGTGTCCAACTGCCCTGTATTTGAATAAAGAGGGACCACCGTGGTGATTCCTTTCCCAGCAATCTTGGGTATCCTGTTAACTCTTAAGTGTTAACTTAATTGTCCGGAGCTGATTTCCTTTAGATGGCAACTCTTTTCACTGGAGGAAAAAAAAAAAATCAGATGCCACATACCAAGACTGTACTATTTAGTGGACTTTGATTTTAAGATGATAAAAATTTACACAATGTGCAGGTCCTTAGGGATGGAGTCTCCAGAATACCTAATAAAGTTTCATGTTTTGACATAACAGATTAGAATTGCAGATAGACTTTTCACTCTTGGAACGATGTATCCTAGAATCACCCCCTCTTGAGGGTTGGAAAGAAACTATTAAAATCATCTTACCCCTCTACCTCTGGATCTTTTGTCTAACCAGTCCTGGCTATATAAAATGATTGGTGTGAACTCAAGCAATCAGACATGCTTTATGCCTCATTCTTAAAAAAAGAGTAACTTGAGTAACTTCATCCCCAACCAAATTAGATGAATGTTACCATGTAAAAACCTGTCTTCCATGAAACATCTATAAGAGAAATTATATTCCTACCTCCATCATGCACATTCAGTTGCCCTTAAGGTTACAGATCATTCAAATATGTATAGAGTAACAACAGAGTTTACTATGTGTTAAGCATTGCTCTGAGGACCTTACTAATATTAGCTCATTTAACTTTCACATCAATATCATCATACTATCATTAACCCCACTTTCCATATAAATTTAGGCCTAGAGAGACTGACTTGACCAATGTCACCCAGCTGGTGACAGAGCTGGAAGTACAGACCCAGGCGTTGTCTGGTTCTAGAGTGTATGATCTTGACCTTTATAGATATTGCTGATTAATTCAATGTTTAGTGAGAACCAACTCTATTTAAGGCACTGAGGTAAACACTGTAGGGAATTCAAGAATAATATTTGGTCCCTCCTCTCAAGAAGCTCTTTTTGTTGTTACCATACCTAGAAAAAGCAGGAGCTGTGAATGGTTATTCCTCGTCAACCTGAACCTTCTTCACTTTGTCCCATCACACTGCCTGTGGTGTTAGGTCCTAGAGTTTTATGCCAGAACCACAGACTTAAGGAATTGAGCAAGATCTTTTTTTTTTTTTAAAGATTTTATTTATTTATTTATTTGATAGAGATCACAAGTAGGCAGAGAGGCAGGCAGAGAGAGGAGGAAGCAGGCTCTCCACTGAGCAGAGAACCCGATGCGGGCCTCGATCCCAGGACCCTGGGATCATGACCTGAGCCGAAGGCAGAGGCTTTAACCCACTGAGCCACCTAGGCGCCCCTAAGCAAGATCTTAAACATGAGTTGAATACCCTCATTTTACAGATTTGAAAAATGAAATGCAGAGAAAGGTCTTATTCAAGGTCACAAGGTTAATGATAAAATGTAACTAGAAAGGCAATTTGTCTCCCAATCAATAAAGTATGTTCAGGGACACGTAGTGGTTCAGTAAGTTAAGCACCTGCCTTTGGCTCAGATCATGATCCCAGGTCCTGGGACTGAGCCCCAAATTGGTCTCCCTGCTCAGTGGGGAGCCTGCTTCTCCCTCTCCTCCCAGCTTATGCTCTCCCTTGCTATCTCTTTTGCTATCTCTGTGACTCCCCCTCTCTCAAATAAATAAAATCTCAAAAAATAAAGTATGTTCATGGAAATGTATGTAAGTTAAATTTGTGTAAGCTTAACTATAAACTCCTAAGTAGAGATTTCTGTTTAAAGGAGTCAGTAAAATATTCCATGTAGGTGATTATTTTATAAAGCAAATAAAAACCATCTACCACCATGCCAAACCAGGTCTTTTATAAATCTTGATATTCATATACTGGGTTTGGTGAAATTAGAAAAAAAGAACTCTGGTTGTCGTATTAGCTGGCAAATTAAAAAAAAAAAAATTCCCTAATACTATGGGTAAGAGAGTAAATATCACTGATAGGAAATGTTCAAAGTTTTAGGCTCCATACAGACTTATCAAATTCATACTTCAAACCAGTAGATATTTCAGGGTCAAAAGTGTAAATGCTAACAGCAGCAGCTAACACTGAGCATGTACTATATATAATGTACTTACTTAGCAGAGTAATATATGTAAAATATGACCTCATTTAATTCCATGGAATTGCATACAATTTCTGAACATGAAAGACTCCATTTTGAAGCTTCATTTTCCTTTCTAACTAGGGAATTCTTGAACTGGGCCAAAAGTGGCAACTTTTTATAAGGAGTTGCTAAACAGAACAACTGGCATCAAGACCATAAAACTATTGGTATGAGCTTATGAAGACAGAATAATTAAAACACACCAAGATTAGTTTCGTTTGATAGCACCAATTAAAGTCAGAGTAATCAAAGCAGCTCAACTAGTTAGCACCAATTAACAAGTTTTTATTTTTCTCTCTTTATCAAAATCATGTGATTACCCCAATTCTTCTTTCTCAGAATAACCTCTTGTCTTCCCCACATCAGTGGGACACTTTTCTGGTTACTAACAGAATCTGTGCTCTCTGAATTGCAATTCGGAGACCCCAAATAAAAAAACCTTTCTTATTCTCTTTTGCCTCTTTTTCTTGGATGATAATTCCTACAACAATTTGACAGAGTTCACATTATTACCTCCATTTTTTTTAGACAAGGAAACTGGACTACAGAAGATTCAGTTGCCTACAACTACAGGGTAAGGAAACGAGGGAAGCAGAATTATTTAGAGAGATTTCTCATTATTGATGCCCATAACATCTTTGGAGAAGAAAGCAAACTCAAGCTAGATACTGAAACTGCCACTGAACATTCAAAAGTGGCATAAAACAAGCACACTTTTCCTTTGGGGCCTAGTCTGTGCTTTTAGCCCTTTATTTGAGTAACCACATAAGAAATGTGCTAGACATGGGGAATATCAAAATGAATACCGTTTATACTATTATATTGTTTGTATGATTGTATTTCTCATGTTCAAGGATTTATATTTTTATTTATATTTATATATTTATATATATATAAATATATATTTATTTATATTTATATATTTATAGCAAAATAGGGTATGACAGGAACATATAGTTGTAAAACAAGCCAAGCTGGCTAGATATGATATATTAAAAAATTGAGCATTTAGAGAAAATTTCACTTACAGGTTGCTAAGCAGGATTAGCGAAAGTTTCATAGCAAGATTGACACTTGAGCCAGGTCTGCAGGAGTAATCAGAATTTAGATAAAGATGAGGCCTGCCCCTCAGGTTAACAGTGTGAACAAAGGCATATTCATGAGCTACTGAGTCATCCAGTTTGAATGGAACAGGCTGTATGTAAAGAAGTGGGAGTGGAGATAAAACTGGGAAATGAGAATGAAGTCAGATAGTACAGTGTAATAAAGAAATGGATTGCTAAGGAATACAGACTATTCAAAAGACAAAAAAGCTGGTAGCAGGGAAGAGAGACAAAGTTAGATTTTAGGAAGATTAATCTGACAGTGATTGGAGAGTGGGCAGAGGGGACAAAAGCCAGTTAAAGATTTAGGAAAGCAATAATATAGGGTAGGGAAAAAGTGGTATTACTGGGAATGAAGAGGAGATTGATAAAGATATTATTGGAAATCTTCTGTAGGAAATAACTGGACTATAAAGG